ACAAGACTGACCTAATTTCCAAAATGCTCGCAAACGAGGGGCTTTCTGTATAGTAGTAGTCATTAATATAAACTAGGCCTGTCTACCATGTACATGTAATAAAGATATTATTATATTATATTAATATGAGTAAATTTCTCATCACTTATAAGGTGTCAGGATTAAGAGTGCGTGGTGGGGAGAGAAGGCGAGGCAGAGGTCGAGGATCCTCTAGGTGCACAGAGTCGTCACTCCTCACAGATGATCAAACTAATATCAGCAAGGAGGTACTGAAATGCCAGTCTCACTCTCCTAGTTATAATCATTCTTTCTTTATACTCACTGATTTTTTTTTTAATTTCCCTTTATTTTTACAATTATCCAGATATGCTGTACATGATACATTCATGCTCTAATTCCCTCTCCTCAGACAACTAAGCTACACTTATCAGTACACTCCTCTGCTAACAGACAACATAGTGTATAAGTGTCAAATATACTATACACACACATTTCTTAAACGTATTTCATCATAAAAGGTCTTTGCGTTTTGCTCACACTCCTTGCAATGTCCCATCCTCGTGTCTCATTGGTGAGTTAAATTTTGCCTTCATTAAAATCCTCCTTCTAGATTGTAACATACATTTCAAAATATTTTACATACTGGGTATAATTAAATTAGTTAACATGTTGGTGATGTTTAACTTTACCCATTTTCCTGAGTTGTTACCCACTATTAAAAATCATAATCTTTGCTTTATACCAGCCATACAGTCAGAGCAGGCAGGAGTTCAATAGAATATTGATTTTTCTTCCAGTTACTGAGTTACATTTTGAGTGTACCACACGCTATGATTTTTCAGGTTGTCACAGTCAAAGAGGAGCCAAAAATTTCTGATGACAGTGATGAATTAGACACACAAAAATCTACTCAAGTAGATGTATTATTGAAGTATAAAGAAATTGGAGAGAGAACTTTGAAACAAGATAAGCTTAAAGTTGAAAAAAAGAAAGGGAAAGTATTGCCAGAGGATATTATAGTATCAGGTAAGTTTTGGAAAGGCTGACTGTGTAAAGTACAAAATTCTTGAAAACTTTATGAACTTAATTAATAAACTTTACTAATACAGTACACTGAATAAATTTGGCTATTTTAATAAACAGTTGTGTTAGAATGTTCACTGCATTTGATAAATTTATCTTCAGACAACTTAGTAATATTGAACTTAGCATTCAGGCAATTTTAAGTTCTAGTTTTAGTTTGACAGAAATGCTTGCATAAAATATAGGTTTTACCATGTAAATCATGACCAATGTAAACCAGTCTCCGTAACACAAATGCATCTTCTTGGAAAATAATAATTTGTTTATCTATTTGTTTTTTATTTGTTCTTAGGTAGTAGGTTGGTAGAGAATAATTCTCCAGGCTTATACAGCTATCCTGTCATATGTGTGAAATGGAGGCCAGTTAAATGTTTTGCACTCTGGCAGGACTTGGTCTTTCTGTCTCATGAACATGCAAGATGATGAAGTAAATCCTACAAACCTGAACTTAAATTTAATATAAGGTTATCTGTACTTTCCTGTGCTTAACAGTGTTTGTTTCTGTAATATTGCCTTACCACTTTACGAGGCTTGATCTGAGACCAGGGAATAATAGCAGTGATCCTTATAGTGTTCAACAGATATTTAAGAGTTTTAGTAATGCACCCTTTATGTTTCTGTCTAGAATTAGAAATAGACATCAGCTCTAAATGAATAAAGATACAAATGCAGTATACTATGTTTTTTTTTTTTGGCAGTTTTTGTCCACATGGTGGGCTTTATCTATCTTGTCAGTATTGTATACCATTGTTTTCCTTCAGCTCTTAAGTATTGAGCTTCATAATGCTTCTTATAGGTTTATGAGACGATTAACATTGTGTCCTTTGGCACACTTAAAGCAAGGTTCCTTAAGATGATCAACATAGAAATCCAGGTGTGGAGAACTGAGTAGGTCAAGAAAAATGCTCTCTGTCTATATGGAATGGATGACTATATATAGAGTGGATGACTGATGATCAGCTAGTATGGAAGATATCCAGTATTGTAGTATAAAAGTGACATATTGTACAGTACTGGTTTCAACTGTTTAACAAGTTTTTAAAGTATACCATACTACATAATTTATCTTAAAAGATTATGGAGGACTGAGGAAAATATCCATATAAAGACTACCTGCTTCCTTCTTAGTTAATCATGGCAGCATGCTATATAGTTTGAAGGGTTTTTAAACAAATGTCAAGGTATTAGCCCTTATGAAGAACATGACAACCTTGATTGAGCCACTGGATGAAGGTGCTATATATCCTGGGAAGAACTTGAGGAGCCCACAATGAATGCTATGTTGAAAAAGTCTGGCCTAAAATAGGAAATTAATGTTATATTTAGCTACAGGTACCTTGAATCGTTTTGGTCATACCCATTTCATTGGGAGGTAATTCCTGTGAAAAAGACATCATTGATATAGACAGTACATTTTTTTACAACACTTATAGTAATATACTGTGTGTGCAGTAGATCTCTCATGCAGTTTTACAAATAATAATACTGTACAGTATTCTGTATATAGTGGAAGATTTTTGTGTTTGCAAATATATACCTGTGTAGAGGGTGTGTAAAGGTAGAAAGTTCAAAGTGTACATAGATGAGAGTAAGGTGATGAGGGTATCAAACGATTTAGATAAAGAAAAATTGGATATCACATTGGAGGGAGGGAGTATGGAAGAAGTGAATGTGTTCAGATATTTGGGTGTTGACTTGTCAGCAGATGGGATTATGAAAGATAAGGTTAACCATAGAATTGATGAAGGAAAAAAGGCGAGTGGTGTGTTGAGGTGTCTGTGAAGACAAAAAACGTTGTCCATGGAAGCAAAGACGGGAATGTACGAGTATAGTGGTACCAACATTCTTTGAGTGTGAAGCGGGGGTTTTGTAAATGCTGCAGAAAGGAGGGAGATTGAGGCAGTGGAGATGTTGTGTCTGAGGGCAATGTGTGGTGTAAATAATTATCCAGAGAATTTGTTGTGGGGAAATTAGAAGGTATGGATTTACTAAAAGTATTAGCCAGAGGGCTGAAGAGGGTTGTTGAGGTGGTTGGTAGTTTGAAGGGAAAGGAAGGTGGGGTAGGGTTGTCCTAGGAAAGGTTGGAAGAAGGGGTAAGGGGGTTTTGGGGGGTAAGGGGCTTGGACTTCCAGCAAGCATGTGTGAATGTTTTTAGATAGGAGTGAATGGAGATTAATGGTTTTTGGACCTGATGAGCTGTTGGATTGTGAGCAGGTAATATTTTGTGGAAAGGATTCAGGGAAATCGGTTAGCCCAACTTGAGTCTGGAATGGGAAGTACAATGCCTGCCTTTTAAAAGAGGGGTTTGGGATTTTTGGCATTTGGAGTGACATCTAAACTGTTGTATCTGACACCTCTGCAAAGACTGTTTAAATGTATAATGATGCTGAAATGTTGAATGACACTAAAAGTTTTTTCTTTCTTTTTGGTTTTTCTTATTTTTGGGTCACCCTGCCTTGTGGGAGATGGCTGACATGTTAAAAAAAAATACCTGTACTTGAAGCTTTGCCTTTCAGGAAGGCGTCACACAAAAAAAGTAGACTACAGGCATTTTGCAGAGTATGGCCATGGAACTGACATCAAGTTGGAGGAATGAATCAGGGTGAGGTATTGCAATAATAGCTATAATATCAATCTTTTTTTTTGAGGTTATAGGACATCATTAATCTAATCATTGGAATTGCCCCTTTAATAGTTTTATAAGCCAAGTTTTTTTCAAATTTAGCTCCCTTGCAGGTGCTATATACTACACTAAGCTTTGATGAAATAATAGTTTTCTAGGTCATGTGATCCTTAGGGAACACCAAGAGCAAGTTCTGCTTGAGTCAGATTGGAACTTTCACTTTGTTGGCCACATTCACTTCACATTTTTACAAATACAGTATTTTACCTATTTATCAAACCACATTTTTACAAATACAGTTTTTTACCTATTTATCAAACCATAAGCACAAAACATCATCTTTTATGTTTTGATATAAGTGTCATAAACAATGGACGGAAAGTAAACATGGAATATAGATAAAGAATTTAATATTTTGGGAGTATATATAAAGAATTTATTTATTTCGGCCCACAAAGTTTTTTGAGCGAGGTCAAAATATACAAATCTTTTTCTACTCTGTTTTATTTTATGTCTATATGGGAGTTACTTAACCCTTTGACTGTCGAGGTTGTATATATACGTCTTACGAGGTACTGTGTTTGACGTACAGTGGAACCTAAAAAAATCGAACTTTAATCCGTTCCAGGAGCTAGTTCTAAATTAAAAAGTCTGAAATTCGAAGAACATTTCCCATAAGAAATAAGGAAATACAATTAATCCTTTCCCAGAAACCCAAAAATATTCACACAAAAAATAACATTTTATAGAGATTAATTACAGTTTTACTTAAAACAAATACTATAGTTTTTAATTATGTATAAGTAATACATATAAAATAACTTTTTTTACTTACCTTTATTGAAGATTGGTGATGGCATCTGGAAGATAGGGAGGAGGAGAGAGGGGGTTGGGGTTAGTGTTTGGAAGGAGAATCCCCCTCCATGAGGACTTTAGGGAAAGCCCTGGGTTACTTCCCTTCTCTGTCTTTTAATTTCCACTAGGGCCACTTTAGAATCACTGGACCCCGTCTCACAAAATAACTGTTCCCCAGTCCTCGTTTCTGGCCCCCCTCTTTTAACATTTCCCTAAAATGGGACATGGTTCTGTCACTGAACTTGTTGCAAAGATGGCTTGTTTCCCGTTTGCTCAGGGGGGTACTTCTGCACCCAAAAATTTGGACATCATTCCACTTGGCACAAATCTCCTTAATCTTTGAAGAAGGCACCTCTCCACTCCCTATATTAACACCTTTTGCAACATCAGCTTCCTTGATTTGTTCTTTCTTTGACAGGATAGAACCGATGGTTGACTTGTTTTTCCCATACATTTCCCGGCAAGCTCAAAAAGTCTCACACCACTCTCATACTTCTGTATTATTCCTTCTTCACATCTATGGTTTTTCTCAACTTTCTTTTCCACAGGGGTACCACTAGCAAGTTTCTTTGGGCCCATAGCAGCTTATTTCACAGTCCCACAAGTGCTAAAACACGACGAAATAATCGTAAAATGCGTGAATGAGAGCGCAGGTTAGTGTTCACTCAAGCATAAACAAAGCTAGACTGTCACGGCGCCTGCATGGGGACGCGGACAGAGCAGGACCCGGGACACAGGTCCCATACCCGGGGGGGTCCGAAAATAGGGGCGCGTTCGATAATAGGGACACAGTTTTTTCCCGAAAAAATGGTTTTATTTTCGAAACGTTCGATATGTGATACGTTCGATTTTTTAGGCTCCACTGTAAAATATACTCATAAATTCTAGCGGCTTCAAATCAAGCAGGAGAAAACTGGTAGGCCCACATGTGAGGGAATGGGTCTGTGTGGTAAAGTGTGCATCATATAAAAAAATCCGGAGCATGCAGTGCATAATGAGAAAAAAAAAAACTCCAACCGTTTTTTTTTTTTAATTAACCCGTAAACGGTCCAAACGTATATATACGTTTTTTCAACATTTCAAAGTATGTAAAAAAAGTAGATCTTCTTTTTTTTTTTTACATTTGAAAACGTGTAAAAACTGATCTACTTTTTTTTTTTTGTTATATTTGAAAATATGTAAAAAAAACGTAGATCTACTTTTGTAGCACTACACATGTGAACGTGATCTGCTTGGACCGTTTATGGGTTAAAATACCGACTTTGGGGGTCTATTTTCCATAGTAAAATTTATGGTTGTATTCTCGTTTTCCCTTTGGGCTCCTTTGATAGAATGGAAAAAAGTATTATAGAAATAGAGGTGATTTTGATTGATTTTACCATAAAAAGAACCTGGAAATGGAGCTCAAAGTAGGGGAAATGTTTGATTTTTGCGGAGTTCAAAAGTAAAGAAATGATGTCATTGTCCATTAAATGTCCAACTAGCCATTTTTAATATGCAGTCAGAAGGGGTTAATGTTATTTTATACAATTATTACAGTATTGCAGTTTTCTGCATAACAGGGAAATCTTCTATTTTTTTTTGAATAAAAATTCAAAATAGAAAAGCAAGAGTAATATCAAGGGGCTTGGAGATGTGATTTATGAACAAAGAAAAAGTTATTTTAGAGCCAGGAATGTCTGCATTTTTTTCATTCTGGACCTTATTTTGAAAAAAAGTCATATTTTTAATTTTTATGAAATTGGCCAAATTGCAAATTTCTGACCACATTATTGGGTAGATGAAATCGGTAAATGGGCAGTTTCTTGTACTCAATCGATAGAAAAAATGGAGTTCTAAAGAAATAGCTATGAGTTTGGTCGACTTGGAACAATAGAATTAGCCGAAATTAGGGCTCAAGTGGGCAAAATCGACGATTTGTAAATATCGCCAAGGTCCCATCTTCCGCGAAACGTAATTCCATCAGTTTTCCATCAAATTTCGTGTTTTTGGTCTCATTACAATCGGGAAAAGATTCTCTATCATTCATAAGAATTTTTTTTTTTTTTTTTTTTTTTTTTAAATTTTGCGACACCAGGAGACACTTCAGGATTGGGGGTTGCAACAGTCAAGGGTTTAAAAGTAGTAGGTTGGTAGACAGCAGCCACCCAGGGAAGTACTACCGTCCTGCCAAGTGAGTGTAAAACGAAAGCCTGTAATTGTTTTACATGATGGTAGGATTGCTGGTGTCTTTTGTCTGTCTCAAAAAATTTTGCAAGATTACAGGTACGCTTGCTACTTCTACTTCCACTTAAGACACACTACAAATGTGTGTGCAAGCATATATATAACACCCTTCTGGTTTTTGCTATTTTCTTTCTAGTTTCTTGTTCTTGTTTATTTCCTCTTATCTCCATGGTTAAGGGGAACAGAATTCTTCCTCCATAAGCCATGCGTGTTGTAAGAGGTGGCTAAAATGCTGGGAGCAAGGGGCTAGAAAACCCCTTCTCCTGTATATATTACTAAATGTAAAAGGAGAAACTTTCATTTCTCCTTTTGGGCCACCTGCCTCGGTGGGATACGCCGGTGTGTTGAAAGAAAGAAGAAGATGGGATTACTTGTTCATCCTGTTATGAACAAGCTGTTTGCAGAAAAGCAGATACCTTGTATATCTTCCTGATGCCTGTCACTTTTCCACCTCATATAATTGTTCCATGTAAGCTTATTGCTGTCATGCAACTGAATGCTTTTCTTTTTACTTTTAGCTCAGTGGCCATTTTCTAACTTACAGGTTAATTTAGGAGACTCAGTGATGAAATCAGAATTATACTTTATCCTTCTTTGCATTTTTGAACCTTAATTGCAGTACAAGGAAAGGGTAACCAGGTGGGTGGTATTTTATTCATCTTGTAAGATTAATGTGATTTACAGAGTAAAACATTTTAGCTAATTTCGAAACAGGCAACACTTTTTTTTTATTTCACACTGTATGGTATTGTATTTAAAAAAAATAAATAAAAAATTAATTTACCACTTAGAAGACAAGAAAAAAAAATGTACATTTTGTCACCTCTCTCAATTTTTAATAATTGTGTATTGATTGTTTCTTATTTTCAGGGGGAAATCAGCAAAAAGTTTTTTTCCATGTTAAAGGGGTGGGGGTAGCCCTAGGAAATCCCCCATGGTTGAAGCACACGGTCAGTTCCAAAACCCCCAAAAGTTCCCATTTATGTCGGTACTCAAGTGAGGAAAGTGGAAAACCCCACAAACTCAGTCAGATACGGGTAAAAATGGGGAATGAAAAAGGAAACAAAATACAAACACAAATCCAGGTTTGTAATAATTTTGTTTTTTTTTGAAAAGATAACACCCGTGTGTAGTTTGTAGACTGTTCACTTTTACAGGGAAAATTAAAAATTAAATACTAATGTGTGGGGCCCATTGAAGGGTCTGAGCAGCATCTTGCATGCAAATTTTCTCATCTTTATTCATTTAGAAGGCAACTCCCTGACTTGTCAAAAACAAGGAAAATTGTGCATTCTCTCTGGGGTTTTTTTGTTGAAAGGCACTGTTTGTCTGAAAAAAGATTTAGTTTGGGTTTTAAATTTTTTTTGATTCAGCCTGCAAGGGGGGCTTTAAAGATGGTGAAGGGCATTTGTTTAAGGGTTGGAGCTCTTTCCTCTTCCTCGAAAAACATTTTTCCCCCCATCCCTCCCACTGCCAGCACTGTAAACCTCTACCAGTTTAAACTTCCCCAGGCTGTAATAAAAATAAAAAAAAACATCATTAGTTTACATAGTTTATCAAATCAAAAAGGGAGCCAAATTCTAGAAAGGTAAAGTAGAAACCAGTGGGAAGTTTTTCAAAATTGTAAATGACATTTGTGTTGAAAAAAATTTTTGGGTGCTTTTTTTTGAACCTTAAGTGAAAATGTCTTACTCTTTTCCCCTTGTCAACTGCAGAAAAAGCAGGTTAAAGGGTAAACAAAGACGAATATGGGGTAGATATAAAAATGTTATTGTCACATTCAGAAAGTGCTAAAACCCCCATGGGTAGAGGGAAGAGAGAAGCTGGAGGGAAGGGCTCACAGAGCAGAGAGGAGGGACATAACAGAGCAAGGGTGTAAAAGTTATGC